CGCGTTATCAACTAGGAGGGGAGGAAACCGCCGTGAAACGGGAAAAACCGCAAAAACTCAACAGTGAGGCCGGGGAAAACTTTTTTACGCGGCAAATTTCTTCCGGAGGCACATACGACTCCCCTCTCCTAACAAGGACCGAGTAGGACCCCCTCTTGCCAGCGATCAAGCGCGACCCGCCATGTTTTTCGCACAACGAAGCTGTACCCAGGGTGGGAACGCCACTCGTGGGCTCAGTTCACCCCCCCCCCTCTCCCTGATACCGCTCTCGCTAATGCGATAATATTAACTGTATAAAATTTCAATTAACAAGACCCGAAGTGAACAGGGTCAATTCATAATCCACTTACCTGTTATCGATGAGCAGTGGGTTGTCGACAAACTCCTGCACAAATGAGTTCTCCTTGTCCAGATCCATAGCTTTCAGCTCTTGTACTTTGATGTTTCTGTAATAGTTGAAACTTATTTCCCCCTTTCTTTTTCCCGCTGGACTGTCTTATAATCACCCGCTTTGTGGGAGGAGGAGGCAGTCGAGGGGATTACTGGAGGACCGGATGGGCACAGTGGTTACTATGGTTGGGCGCTGGACGCTTGAGGGGGAAAGAAAGCATCTTACCAGTTCCCTCCAACGTGGAGACTTGCAGACTCTTGAAAAGCTACTAAAGCCATGCATAAAGGAGCTCATACCACTAAGGTTGCGGGTATTCACAGGTATTACTAAGGTGAACGGGCTAGAGAAGCAGTCGGACCGCCCCAATTCCCTCTCTTCCCCAGGCGCCGCGAAAACCCATCAGGCCTGGTAAGGCCTAGCGTCTGCAGCTAAAACGAGTGTTACTCCCGGAGGTGCACTTGATCGTATTAACTTTACTTCATGGGACTCCTCTAGGGATTTAAGGGATATGTGATCGATAGTGGACCTACCGGTGGTGCGTGTTGTCCTTTTGCACCCACAGGTGGGGTGCTTGTCCCATATGTCGATCACATTCCTTTTGTCTCTGCTGGGAAGCTTGACCATGATTGTGATCCATTTAATTGATTAGAGAACTCGCCAGCCATATCCTCACCGAAACCAACTAAGGATTTAAGGCCCCTACTCAACCAATACAGAAATTCTTGACACTCTCAACTGTTCTGACACTGAAACACCAGCTCCAGGTGTTTCTCGCTATATTTGGGAGTGTCTTATCTTTGATAATGCGGACGTGATCAGGAGACTGGTTTTGGAGCGGCGCCCAGCTCCGTTTGCACCAGTTGCCGTGTCTTTTACACTTCATCCAAATGGATCCGTGGGGCTGCATGGTACAGCATGCGCTGATGTGTGAAATGGTGACGTCAGTCGAACCCCCTTCCCTCCGCCATATCACCCTGCCTACCAATTTTTCCATGTCTTTCACGTCAAAAATTTAGTTATCGAGAGTCCCGCAGAGCGGGGGGGGGGTGGGGGAGGGGTTGTACTGACATTCCCTTCTCACACATCACGATGTGTACCGTGTCCCACACCCCCCTAACCCACGCGCCTAACGTCCACTCCCATCGTGTGCTTCACACTACGCCGATGGCTGTACCCTAGGGCCTCAGTAGCTCTGGCGCTGCGCCAAGCCCAGTTTCCCTGGAACACATCAAGACTCTCAACGAACAAGACGTACATAGGTCCTCGAGTTCAGAGCCAAGCACCTGGGACAAATTTAAGCTTAATGATAGTATTATTAATCAAACTTCGAAACTGAAGCTCAAGAGGCAAGAAATCGAGTTGCCACTTCAGTATTCGCTTGGTGCACCAACCTAATTATTTTGAACAATAAAGGTGCACTTTGACTCAAGCTTATCCATACTCAAACGACTTTCGGATGGTAACTACCCATTTCAGTCAGTTTTATAATTTAATCATGGTATACTTCCGCGAAGGACCATACATCTCAATTTACAGTCTTGTTCACTGCGGAAGCTGGGCTGTGTCAGAGGAAGGGTTTGGCGCGATGCCAGCCCGTTCTTTCATTTTTTTTCTTTTGGCAAGCGACAAGACTGTATCATATTGTTCTTTTCAGTCGTTGTCGCTAACCTCTCGAATTGGTGGAGAACGGGCTGGCGGTGCGCCAAACCCAGCCACATTGACACCTTCTCCATCATGCGTAGCGAACAAGACTGTACCACCTACCACCAGGCGTACTGAGCTTGACTACACCTACCTTGCTTGTGTAGAATCCTGAGCCTGCTATATGGTTGACTAGTTGATGTGGTTTCGCTTCTCTTATCGAGGTATCATACTTCTCCCTCTTTAGCGAATATTCATGAGTCCAAAGAACGTCCCAATCGGCAGGTATGGATCCACTTGTCACATTGTAGCCCATAGTTTTGAAGACATCGGCAACGTGGCGTAAATATGTTCGAAGTGGCTGATAAGTATGCTTTTATAAATTTATTGCACATTAAAGTTTGCATGAGGAAAAGAGAAGAGCTGAAGCTCTTGGTTTGTTGGTCAACAAAGGTCTGGTGGGCGCTGTTCGGCGACGAGGGGGGCATTTTGCACTTTCGTTACTTCACTACTTCCGGTTACAAGTCTCACTCTGGTGAAACCTGTGAAGCTCTTGTGAAGCTGGGCAAGCTCGTCAAGCCATCATGGTAATACCTGTCAACTCGAGAAGAGGCTGTCTAGTTAGTGCATATGTTTTTAACCCGACTTTTTTGTAAATATCTCAATAGCGAACCAGCCTGAAGATTAGTGGTCATCACCATCCACTACTCGACGCCAACGCTCAGGCAGCTTGTCGATTCCATCCTCCCAGAAGGACGGGGGCTGGGACCCGAAGAAGGCCACAATGCCGCACAATCACCACTGTGACATGGTTTTGCACTGGTAATTGTGCGGCATTGTAGCCTGCAAATGCAGGGTGGGTGAGTGATAGCTAGTGTGATGAAAGAGTATCATGTACACGTCACGCACACGTGACGAAATACCAACATCCATGCAAACGAAATACGGAAGGATCAAATTTACAAAAAAGTCGGGGTTAAAAACATATGCATCAACCTAAGATGGATCGACACGTCGATGGAAGTAGCGAAAGTGCGTCTCAGGGCACTTGTCAACCGAGAAGCCTCTTCTCTTTCCTTTTTCTTTTCCTTCCTTCTTTTCCTTCCTTCCTTCTCTGATCCCTCCTCCTTTACCTTCTCCCTTCAACTACTGGACTGGTAGATGCCTCGTGAAAATAACCCTGGACCCTCGCAGCGAGAGCACGTCTGGTTGACAACAGCCCCGTAACCGCTCGAAGTGCAAACGCCCCCCCCCGTCAGCCGAACAGCTACCGGTCTGGTGTCTATTTAACGCTCTCTGCCAAAACGAGAGGGAGCTGGTAAGATGGCGTGAACATAGCAGAGGCAAGCCAAGGCAGCCACTTGCCCAGTTATTTACAGATTCAAGATGGTACTCATGCGTTGAAAACGCTGCGCTCTGGCATGGCTCTCCATCCACACCCCCTCACACGCCTATTCGCCCGCAGGGATAATGAGTGTATGGATATCGGATAAACTGTAAAGTTCAAGAGTTTGAAAAGCCTAACCTGTACACCCTCTCCTTCGATCCACGCTATTGGTTGTCTTGATATACGAGGAGGAGCTTCTTTGTTGTCCTGAGACCTTAAAAATTCGACTGAAGAGTCTCTATGCGTTTTTATCCAGGACTCTTTAAACTCGGGGTAGGAGCGGCCACAAGGACAACTCCAATCCAGCTGAAGGCATGAGGGCAGATATGGACACGTGCTGAGAAGGCTCGCGGAACACCCGCTGAGGCACTGGAAAGGGACGAAACAAAACTATTGCTGTTTTGTAGTAGTTTTTCTACCTACGTCTATTTTTTCTTCTAATTGGACTTCGAAGCACAAGGAGGAGAACGAGGAGCCCCGAAGAAAAGGTGGAGGGACGTGATCACTCAAGCGAAGGCCACGGCAGATGACCTGGATAGGAGAACATGGCGACTGTTAACAAGAATAGCGGACCCCGCGACGGTGCGGATTAACACTGGGGAGAAGAAAAGCGAGCCCGGAGTCAGCACCAGGGCGCAGTTCGGCGACGCAAGAGAGGGGGCATTTTGCACTTTTGCTCCCATCGACGTGTCGACCCATCTAGACAGCCTCTTCTCGAGTTGACAGGTTTTACCATGATGGCTTGACGAGCTTGCTCCAGCTTCACAAGAGTTCACAGGTTTCACCAGAGTGAGACTTGTAACCGGAACTAGTGAAGCCAGAAGTGCAAAATGCTCCCTCCCCCTCCGTCGCCAAACTGCACATTGGCGCGGAATTAGCGCTAGGGGGAAGAAGAAGACTGCCCGGAGCCAGCATTCAGTTTATTCTTCAAAAACGCTCTCGATCTTACGTTTATCGAATGTTTAATTCGAAAGTAGATCGAGATAGGAGGGATAAGTGATAGGTTGGTATAGAGTTGGGAAGGAAACAACCGATGGTGTAAGTGCGGCGGGTGGGCTGATTTCATCTTTCTTGGAACCGCCCGACTAATTGCGAGGATATCAACTGTATGATCACGGCAACATTCTTCTCATTCGCTTACTCCGAAACAGAGAAGGGACTAGGGCGCAGCTCAGCGACGGAGGGGGTGCATTTTGCTCTTCCACTGCTTCACTAGCTCCGCTTTACGAGTCTCACCCTTTTGAAACCTGTGTATGTTTGAAAAGCTCGTCGAGCCACCATGGTAAAACCTGTCAACTCACGAAAGGCTCTCTAGATGGGTCGACACGTCGATGGGAAGTAGCAAAAGTGCAAAATGCCCCCCCCCTCCCCCGTCGCTGAACTGCCCCGAGACTAGATTGCTTCGTTGTTCAAGAAGGACTTAATCTACTTACAACATGCGCTCAAGTCGTAGAGCCATTTGAGATATTTCATAGATGTTGTAAGATAACAGCAAAGTGAATACGATGGAAAAAGCGCTTGACGCCGAGTAAGATTCCAAGAGCTGCATAGTCTTCTGAAATCTCAAAGGTAGACCAACGGCTAAGGGCCAAGATGTTGAAGATTATAGCGAAATTATAGACAGTCAATGCGTGGAGATTCCAAGAAATAGGCATGTGAAATCGCTTTGATTTTATCTGCGAAATGGGTCAGAGCGGAATCCAGTAAACATGTGAAGGTATCGCCGCATGATTACGCCGAGACAACTATGCGCTCTGGAATTGACCGCACACTCTAATAAGTGAATGGTCTGAAAGTTTTCGGGCGTGCACTTACTTTGCCGACTGATGGAATTGCTTAATCTCTGAACTTTGATCGGAATGACTGTATTTAGTATTTGAAGCATATTTTCTTGTGGATGGACTTGAGAATCAGACCAGCGGTCAGTCCTTCGGAACGTTGGATACATTCCACCTTTGATAAATTCCGTAATTGGCGATTATGAGAGCATATTTTTGAGATCCCTGCTTTTCATTTGTGAGACATTTGCGAAGCTTTCTTTCTGTCTCCTATTCCGAAGTTATTAGATGGAGTATGTATTCCTTAGCTGTGTACATATACGTCTTGATATTTTTCCTAATTTATTTTGTTATTATCGCTGTGCCTCTCAATGTTTTCGAAGCCGGAATTTTTACTTCAGACGACCTGCCAAGCTTCCTCTTTTTGAAGAACCACGGACTTCTACAGGTAAGTCTGCTATATATCCGTCTGTCAGAACATCACAAGCGAACACTTTTTTGCTTTCTCTGAATGTCTGTTCTTTTTTTTGCAGGGCCTAGTATACTTGGAACTAACAGGAGGTGGGAACGAATTCAAAGCGAGGAAGAGTCGTGGGCGCCAAAGTTTAGCGTCTGGCACTATTCTCTGGACTAGCTGGCGCCGATGCTGGACATGGGAGCGACTCTGGTGCCACAATGCCAACGAACTTAGTGTACATGTTCACCCTAGTGTATCCACTATCTTGGAACAGATGGAGGTGCCAAATGGTACTGTATCCACAGCGAATGCCATATTCGTTGCTTCGCGTCATGATATCAATCCTATGACGAAGTTTCAATCAGAATTCTTTGGACATTTCGAGAAAGAGTAGGTATAGCTGGACATCCATCAATGTTTTGATTAATTGCTTGTTAAAGCGCTGACCAGATGTCGGGTACACCTATCACAAGAATGCTGAGTCATGGGCAAAAGTCCTGAACAGAGACGCTACTCGAACCCGACCCTCACGCTTTCCGAGTGTATCGTCGGTTAGGGCCAGCCACAGCAAAGCTATACACTCTCAAACGTGAAGAGTTCAAGCTGCATACTCTGAGCTGTCTGAGGTCAGGTGCTATGAGCTGAGTTCAGCTCTGACCTCAGGCAGCTCAGGGTACACCTCTCACCTGAGCTCAGCATGGCACTAAAATGGCGAGCGCATTCTTTGACGCCTGAGGTGAGATTTCGGAAACTTACAACCTCCCTCTACTTCTCAAACACCAGAATCTTCAAAGGAAATTTCGACTGAATAACTTCGCTCGATGTTCCTTCCACTGGTATAACACTCCTCTTCCCATCCCATCCAACCTTACTGATCGTATAGGTTTTTCCCTACTTCTTACCCCTTTTCCCATTCACTGTCGAAAATAGTAGTTGGCAATAGAACCTGCACGACGCGCCCATACACCAGATTCGCCCTCCGTTAAACTTCTCCATAGCTCAGCCATTCTTTGGACAAGCTCGTCCACACGTTCGTATTTTTTTTGCAGCTGTGTTACCTCGCTGAACTACACTCCTCCGGATACCTAGCTTTTTACAATGACGAAAAACGAAGAACCTCAACGACTGGGGGTGACGTACGCGCCATTCTCACCAGGACCAATCCACTCAACTTGGTCGTGAGGTGCGTCGACTCTCTCGAATCTCACTTGTCTCTCAAATTGACTACTTTTTTGTGTGCCTGTGTACGTCTAGCCAAACAGTTAGGAGATACTCTTTTAGTGCGCACCATGCCGCCGTTTAGAAATAAGGCGCCACACCCAAAACCGCGGCCGCTGGGCTCAAACCCAAGGCTAATGCCGTTAGACGCGTTGACTTTTGGCCGCGAGCTCTTTTTTTAAAGTGCCTAAATCACCAAATCTGCTGTGAACCTGTATAGAGAGGTAATCTAAGCATTCTGACTGCGGCTATGACATTCATTCTTGGCGCTGGCGCTAATGGAACACTACGATTATCTGCCCTCTGCTAAAGCTGAACCCAGAAGATAATCGTAGTGTCCTCCATTAGCGCCAGCGCCAAGAATGAATGTCATATTTGTGAACAGGATGTTAGATTACCCCTATATACAAGTTTTCAGCGGATTTGGTGATCTAGGCACTTTAAAAATGAGCTCGCAGCCAAAAGTCAGTCATTTTCTCTATCAAGCGCGCCCAAACTCACCCGTTCATAGGCTCCTTTAAATCTCAGCGCTATGCGCTGTAATAGATAACTTCAGACTAGTAAGTGTAGTTGACCGTATTTTTTTGAAGAAAATCTTACAAAACGTAGAGAAAGAAAAGTATTCGAAATAAATGTTGCACGAGACATTTACGAGCACCAATGGGAAAGCTTCCCTTTCTCTATCACAAAATTCGACTACTAGGTCTGATAAAAAAGTGCAATCACAGGTATCGTGACCAGAGTAAGGAAGAAGCTCATGAAAAGCAGATCAAGTCGTTCAGATATTCGTACATAACCATTCGCTTCACGCCGCCGTCTAATCGCCGTAGGATCGTCGACGTCGAAATCATCGATTTCACCCTAAATATCTCATTTTGGAACGTGTACATTCAAACGACTGAAAGGGAAGAGGTTGACAATGTGAACGAAAATGAATTCATGACCTTGCAAATCTACACATAATTTCATCACATTTACTAGTTAGGTTCTTCAAATTTAGACCGTAAACTCTGGATCTCAAAGTATATCGAGGCTCTCAACAGCCTCAAAAATGCAAAAAAAAAACTTTGTGGAGGGGATCGAGTATAGCTTCGGTGCAAGTTCTTTGCTCACCAGGAATGCAATTCGGGAGCCAAATCCCGTCTCGAGTCCAGGATTGCCTCCCGTCTAGACCAGCTGAGCTTTTTACCCTCCACGGTAAATTAGTACCGAACTCACTGATGTACGGCAAACTACAGGGAGAGGGCAAAGAAGTCACTGTTCCATTCAGTGACTTGTCGAGCGCTTGTAAGTACACTTTAGGTTGAAAATCTGATCGGAGCAGTTTGTTAGCCACTAGGTATTAAAGAGCATATTAAATACTATCATGACACTGTCCGCCACAGCCTTCTGGACGAGCGCCATCGAGAGATTCTGGCACGCGACCGCGATGTGGTGCCTGAGATCAGCGAGATAGTCGATTTCTCCGCCACCGTAGACCACCCTATTGAACTCCGCCCGAACCGGGTAATTGAGGGGGTTTGGGTCAGATGACCTGCTTGAATATTCCACCTTCCTCAGGTACTCAACGCCCCTCCATTCCAAGTAGGCGAGTGTTTCTCCAACGCCCTTCGATTTCATGTGGTGGCACTCAATGCTGTAGCAGTACAAAGTTTCCAAGAAGGTACGGGCGACGACATGTGAGGAGGATATTCTTCACGAGTTGCTTGATGTAACCGCTAGCGCTCACCTTCAGTCCGGGGCCCACGAAGAAAATATTCGGTCTTTCCATTCCGGTACGTCCGTCCATACCATCAACCCGCGCCTTGACGACTGTGGTGAAGGTGATGTCCTAGACCGTGGCGACGTTGTCGGAGCTGCTCGATGTTGGAGGTCTTCCAGATTGAGAGTACTGGTCTCCAGGTAGCTACCATGGGTGTCTCATGAAGTTTCGTCAGCCTGTTTCAGAGGTGAACAGTGAATTCAAAGGTCTTCTCCAGTCAGGCTGCGACTGGAGATGACTTCATATTTTGGTGTACATGAAGGTGATGGGCGAGAGCCAGCTCCTGCTTATAGAGGAACATCTTGGGTATCTTCCGCCCTGGTACTCGTATCCACGTCCTCTGTCTGGGCAGCGAAAACTTTGCTGATATGTGACTCGGTCGAAGTGACTTTTTTTGGCCCCCCCCCCTGTATATCTTCGAATTGACAAAGCTCACTGAAGATCTATTTGAACGAGCTTGACTTCTGCTGCTCCCCACCCCTTCCCAAGCTGCTTTTCATGGCTGATTTTTAGATGAGTAGTTTAGCTAGTTACAGACTTGATGCGTGTTTTCAAAAGCTGCGGCAGCTTTGTTCTTTTATTTAACGGGAGAAAAAAAGCTGCCCGAAATTCAGGGTACACCATCAAGATGGGTGAACGGTGACGATCCCCCATATTTCTTTCCCCTGCACGTTTAGTCTCTTAGGTTTTTTCAAAATGTGCCGAAGGGCGATCGGGATACTTGTATCGGGACACTTCGTATGCTGGAAAATCCTTCTGCGCAGTCGTGTCTGGTCGCTGAAGGGAGGGGGAAGGTACTTAGGGAGCACAATTTTTGGATGATTCCCCTGTTTCACGCGTGTCCTCGCATTCGCTCGTCACATGAAAGGAAGGGTCTTATGTGGCCTCAAGGAACTTTTGCCCGATCGCGTTCTCCTACTCCCCCTGTCCTCCTTGGCTGACGGAACGGAAAAGTCAAAGTGTCATACAATTAATGTTGTTGCTAGTAGACGGCGATTCTCTAGTTTTTCGAGGAACAAGTGCAAAATTTCCAGGAAAACTGAAGAAGTAAATCGGGGGTGGCCGTATTTAGCAAAAATTCTCATTCACGACAGGATATGCCCTGACCGGTATCTAGCGCCTGTGAAACGACAAAAACATCAATAATAATCGAGAAAATCCCTGTAAAAGGAGAATTACGACTTTGTTCTCCCATCGAACAGAGACTACCCCTCTCACTCCTCTAATGGGTTCCGAACAACGACGATGTACACAACTGGGATCACTTTCAGTGAGATTTTGCTCAAAAATAGTAAAAGCTGACCAAAAACTGACAAGCCATTGCAAAATAGGGGCAGTTCGGCTTGGGGGGTTTTGTGGTTTTGTGACAATTTTTCTCATTTTTTTCGGCCTAGTGTCTTCTATGATTAGATCTGTCTCGATGCCCCGTGTATTCATTCATTTTTATCACACCCGTGACTTTTTGCTGAAGAGAATCCCGCAAGCTCTCCGTAGCATAATATCCTTCAACATGTCGTTGTGGCGCGATCTCCGGCACAATTTATGGCAAGCAGTTGCTGAAGCGCCGACCAGGTTTCGACCAGGCCACGTTAAGCGAGAGACCATTTAATCGATCCCTATGACACCTTTTGTTGGAACAACAGACGTCAGTTCCGTTGTGAGGAAATCTCTGGCCTATTTATTGCTTGGTGTTACTACATGTGTAGCTTGTTATTCGTACTCAAAGCTATAGGATAGACATGAACGACTTAGTATAGGATTTTAAATAAGAACATATTTACCTGACAGAATAACAAAAACTAGACATGGGGAAAATATCAGGTAAGCGGGAAAATCTGTCATCTTCCAGATTGAACTTAACTGAGGGGGGACGTGGTGTCGGGGTACAGCATCATTGTGCGAAACACATAGGGGAGTTCGTACTTTTCTCGCTGGGAGGGGGATCGCAATTTTGGTCGTATGGGAGAGTGAGGTCGTATGTGCCTTCAAGAGAAATTTGTTGTGTTGGGGTAAAAATTTTTTCCCCGTTGTTGACTTTCGTGATTTTTCCTGTTTCATGTGTACTGTATATGTATACCGCCCCCTCCGTTTCAAGAGCGAAAATACTTTGGATCGTAAAATTAGGAAGGGAAAAAGTGAGTGGAGAGTTAGAGAATAGCTCCAAGAATCTCCGTTTCATTGCGCTATATACTCCTCCTCGGCGGAAATGTTGGAGTGAAAACTGAGAAAAGGATGGGAAATGAAAGGTAGGTGTTAGGAGAAGGGGGGGGGAGAGGTTCGCAAGGGCCCTCTCTTAGTTGGAGGTGGTCGTATGGACACCCTCTCTCGGAGGAGGGGGGTCGTACTTGCACCACCATTTCACACATCACGATGCTGTACCCTGCGTAGTGTACCGGCAAGTGGGCACTTACCACGCGCGCATTTCTGGGATCAAGTTCCAGACAGGCTTTCTTGACTCCGGGAACGGTACATCGGGACCAGCTTCGGGTGGGAAGATAGAAGGATGGGAACACAATTGTACATCGGCAGTGTTCTGCAGTAGGAAACCAGTGAGTGAATGGAAAATCAGATGAATGCCCCCTTCAAGCCGAAAATTGTGATCCACTGAGGGTTCAGGACAAAATTTCCCTTCGCTCTACAAAAGAATAAGAGCCGAGTAACAGGTGAGTTCACATAAAGAGAGTCTCACCTATGGTTTTATTGCTCATGTTATCGGTTCAGGGTACAGCATCGTTGTGTAAAATACATAAGGGGTTGTATTACTTTTTCTCTGGGGAAGGGATGGGGTTCGTATGTGCCTTCGAGGATAATTTGTCTCATTGACACATTTTGCGTGACTATTCCTGTTTCATGTACACCATATGCACACGTCCCCCCCCCCTCTCGACGGAAAATTTCGGGTGAAAGACTGGAAAATGGGGAGAATTTGTAGGTAGGTGTTGGGGAAGGGGGTCATACTGACATCAATACCTCACACATCACGATGCTGCACCTTATATCGGTCAGCCCCTTTCCAATTGAGACCAAATATTCCAAGGCAAAAACGACGTTACAAATTTTCACCAACAGTTCATTTCGCCTTGATTTCATGAGTTTTGAAGACGACATCTCGTTATTTCATATTCGAACTAGCGAGATCACATTTCAAGGTCCGGTATGACGTAATTTTTGAGAGGAAAATTGTAGTCACCTGAATGTCAGCGCATGTATGCACCAATTTCCGTATGTATGACTCGAGTACTGGTATTCTTTCGGCAATTGCTTGTGTGTCACGTAATTCACCATTCAATCCCTTGAGGCACGATGACGAATGCAATGGCGAATCAGAGCATACAGTGTAGATACCCTGCTAAAAAAGGATATTTTTCTAGAAATATTTACTTCCAAATGGATATCTTTGTCAGACCAAATGGGCTACTTTAGGGGGAGATGACACTCATGTTAAGAAAATGCCCCCATGCTCCAGCAGTGAGTTTTAGTTCGTTACGTCCGAGATGCAGCATCGCGCGCGATGATGCAAACTCAACTTGTTTTCTAGCTCAACCCACTGGAAGGTTGCTACAGCTGCGCTGTAGCTCACGCCCCTCCTTCACAAATCCTTCTTGTTTGCCAGGTATACTGGCACTGTTCGACAGCATGAAGGAATGATGGCCACAAGTCATCTCCAGTTATAACTAACATTAGGCACAGGAATACGGTAGCCTGTCTGCGTACGAAATCATCGGTGAGGCGCGGCGTAGGTCGCCATGGCCGAATTCCATCCCATGAGTTGAGTTAACTAGCTAGGAAGGGCGGGGGTAATTCGTACTATAATTACATAACACTAATAGTGCGCGGATGTTAGTCAAACGTAGCGGGGTGTCAGCATACTACGCGTCTAGAAGTTCCTAGCAGCTGCTAATCTATTATTTCCTTGCATTATTTTGAACTGCATAGGGCCACTACAACGTCCCACAGGCATTATGGGTGTGTAAACAGGTTTTGGCGCGCGCCACCCCATCTTCCATCATTCACTAACGCTTGAAGAGGCAACGGCCGACAGAGAATGGGCTAGCATTGTCCCAACCCCACGTTCCGCTGACACGCCCCTAATGAATTCGCTGATAACGATTGTAAGTCACTTCCTCACAGAATGTGGAAAATTCCAATACGACTGCAAGTTCTTGATGCAATTACGGTGATCGGGACCCCGTTCCAACCATAACGGCTTGCAATGGGACAAAAAGTATTTCAGAAGTCGCAGGAAGAGTATGGTGAATGTCGAGCACGCAGAGGGAGCGGACAGCGTAAAATATTTGAACTCTTGAACAAGAATTTTGTTCCAAGAAATCCGCAGACCCGTATAAAAAGTTCTCTGCGTTATACTTGTTAACGTTCGTTTTGCCATCCGGGGTTTTAGGTGCAACGGTTTATTTAATTTTGTTCCAGCTGAAGACAATCTCAACTAAATTGAATTCTGAGGACATTTTTGAAGTGTTTCCAAACTCAAGAATATTCAAACCTTCGTTTTCAAAGGTCGAAGGCAGAACAATCGCAGTAACCACTCTTTTGGTTCTTTTCCATAACGACCCATGCGGTGAACTCGCATTACCAATCCTGTCGTCATTGCGGCCAAGGAGACCATAACCATATTGAAGAGGAAATATGCAACTGAAATAACTTGGAGGTCATCACCGATATATAATACTTACTGAATGTTTCTCTAGAACATTCCTGTCTCTCTAGAGAGGCAGTGACCTGCACTTCCCCGTTCACTAGAGCCTTTCGAACGGACTACTTAACCTGGTGATATGTGTATTAAAAATGCTTCATATTTCACACAAAAACGGTTTGTGTCATTGAAATGCGGGCAGTTCGGCTTGGTGGGGCATCGAATAGGATTGAGCTCAAGCCTGTACATGTCACCCTGTGAAGACCTGTGCAATCATGTGACCAAACTGGCTCATTCGCATTCGCGCAATCTTGCAGCTTTACGGAAGTTTACACGTTTGACCAAAGTGAGACCTGTTAGTGAACATGAACAACGAAAGGAACCAGCGAAAGTGCAGAATGCCCTCCCTAAGCCGAAATGTGGTGGAGTTGAACATGGTAACCGATGTTAACGCAGCAGTTCACGCTCCTAAAGGTTACCACAAGAATGCTGAGTTATAGTCAAAAGTCTGGGCCCAAGGCAGGACTCGATCCTGCACCGCACACTTTCGACATGACTCCGTTACATAACCAGCGTACAACATCGTTTTCGAACAACCTAATAGAAACACATCGTATTTTTTAGCTGGAGAGGGGGAGGGGGGTCGTATGTGGCTTTGACAGAAATTTGCCGCGTTGGGAAAAAATTTTCCGGTTGTTGACTTTTCGCGTGATTTTTCCTGTTTCATGTGTACTATTTACCCTTCTCCCTCGCTCGAGGGGAAATTTTTGAAAATTTGTGGGTGAAAAATGGGAGATATGGGAAATTGGTAGGTAGGTACTGGGGGAGGTGGATCTTCAGATAAGTGACGGTGGGTTCGAGACCCGTCTGGGGTCCCGAATTCGGCCTATAAGCTAGATCTCCCTAACGAGATTCTCCCAACGATTCTGTACCCTAACGGGTATGCCTGAGAACAATATGTAGCTCAGGCAGGTGAGTTTATAAACCGGGAATTTTTGTCTCCTTTGTTTTTATAGTTCTTTATGTTCCACGAGTCATTCAAACGTTAGCCATTCCGCAATACCAACTCTTGAACTCGAGAAAAAAGTGTTACGTTTCACTATGGAGGTTCAGGGTGGTGATATCTTGTTCCCACTTCCGGCGGCTTCACAATGAAGCGCGTTTTTATGACCTGAGCTCCGACATAAAATCACATGAATGATTGAGACCAGCGAGAGCAAATGGCTCCCGCCCACTGTTGTCGTAAAACGAACATCCACACAGAATGTGTACAATTCGCGAATCATCCGATAAAATTACTACTTCCTTTCGGTCCCATTAACTACAGTTTCATGGCCTATGAGAACCAGAAGCTTCAAAACTCTCTTGAAAACCAAGACAGCTGAGAAGTGCAAATGACCCGGAAACGATGAACACGGTCACGACAAGGTGAGGCCAACTGTCATCAGGGTCCGGCTCAAGACCGCCTACAGTAATCGCGCCAGCCTGAAGCAGTGTGTAACTTGCACGGTTGAGCCACTAGTTCTTAGGTTCCTAGAGAGTGTCGCTATGAGGTGGAAGAGGTGACCTACCTTTCGGGCAAGACAGCTATGGTCTTAGGGAGGCACAGGTATGTCTATTTGGCTTAGGTAAGCACAACTTAATGGCTTTAATTCCATGAAAATCGGAAGGAAAACAGTTGGAACATAGAGAACTTGAAGAATAACTAGGAAAAACAGTCAGCCCTATGAACTCACCGAGCAGAGGTACGTGAGTTGATGAATGCGGGACTTTCTCGCTGACGACCAGTGAGAGGACGGCCATTGTGAGTATGGCAGTCACACCGAGGGTGAACCTTTCCTGGAAAATTGCCAAGTCATTTGCACTTCAGCCATTCATGTTAGTCAAATTCCCAGCCAGGAAATCGCTGCGGCTGCTGGGACGTGTCAGGGGATGGATTTGGCGCAGTGCCAGCCCGCTGTTCTCCAGCTAGCAGGCGACTGCAGTTGGTAGAAAAGTGGCTAACGCTGCGGCAAACTCAGCTCCCTGAAACGACCCAGCATCGGAAGCAAACAAGGCTGTAGGTGCTTTACGGCCACGAGAAATCCATTCGGGGATGTATTTTACCTCTCGCTCTCCGGTGGTCGAGAATCGGGCGAACAGGCCGACGACTGAAATTGCGCACATTATATAACTGGGGAATGTCAGCGTGACCATGTAGAATAGCGGCCGACGCTTCACCGACACATCATAGCGCAGCTCCGATACCTAAACAGGCTCTATAGTGAAAAAAGGAGCATCAAATAGTAGACGAATTTCACTTACATTGATGCCTTCGTGCTCGTACTCGTCTTCTACTACCGTCACCTTCAGCAAACGCCATTCCTCATTATCCGTGTAATGTTGGAGCGAGTGCTCAGTGTGGGCACGTAGACGGATTTTGTCCTTACCGTACGTCCAGCTGGCGATCTGTAACCTCAGTGGATGAGCAAATGTCTGTCTCGTCTTATTCACCGCAGATGATAGGGCGGGTCATTGAGGCAGGCTTTGGAGCGGCGCCAGCACCTTGCGCACCAATTGGAGAAGCTGGCGAACGACTCTATTGGTTTAAAACTGGCAGGCGCCGCGCCAAACCCAGTCTCTCCCCTCTTCCCTCTGATACCCCCAGCATTAGCAGGGAACAAGACTATAAACAACAGCTGTGACATTTGGTCCATGCAAAAACTAACCTCTAGAGCGCATCGCTGATCGTCCAACGGGAATCGCTTGATATTGATTTCGCAAGTGACTGTGTAGACAGCCGGATGACTTGCTTCTACTGTACCGTTGGGATAGATAAGGGCTGGGGCTCTGACTGACGAGAGAAGATCTTCGTGATGTAACCTGGAAGCGCGAACCCTTTATTTAGGGCTCTACCGCCCGTTCTGCACGTAACATCGTTTACATCACAATGAAATTTGAGCGGCAGAAACTTGAATTTGCAAACCAGAAATGGCCAGACTCTTTCAATACAGGCCTGGTGGCTGAGGCTGCGTTCATACTTTGCGGCAGCGTCCATCAGCCACCAAGGAGCGTCTGGCAACGTCAGCGGCTAGAGAAGTATGGGCATAGAAATAGCGTCTAGCAGCGTCTACCAGCCTCTGCCAGCGAACCAGCAGCGCCTCGAGGGCTGGGGAAGTACACGTACCGATCTAGCGTCCGCCAGCGTCTGCCAGCGTCTACCAGCGACCAGCAGCGTCCGGGAGTGGAGAGTATGGGGCGATAGGAGGGTAGCAGACAGCTGGTAGAGTATGGGGAGATAGGAGGGTAGCACACTGCTGCGTTATTAGAAGTATGACAGCCAAGCAGAACAGCTGGTATGCATCCTATCGCTATTAACGTCCTCTACACAGGCAATCTGCTGATGTTCGTGCCTGGTCGCTTGAGGGCAGACGCTGTAGACGCTAGATTTATATTGATACGCTCTTTCTAGTCGGTGGCCTTGTCGCTGCTCGACAGCTCGAAAGGCTGGTCGGCGATGTTGCGTCGCCAGAACTGCTGATGCCAAAGAATGAACTTAGCCGTGAGGAATGTCACGCAATGCACTTTCTGCGACGAAATTATGAAATTATCGGTGGACTTAGTTCAGCGGAACAGCGGAGAGAAGGAGCTTTACTGCGCTCATATTTTATGGGGTCCATGAATACTCAGTTAGGCCTCCTTTCCAATAGGGGCCCCTTCCCTCATTTTATGCCCACTCAATACCTCAAAGATTGATGGGCGGCCCGCGTTGCGCTACCTCATTTATTCCAAGCGGTGGCCGCGTTTCTGGTGGATAATTTTCGTTTTGGGACAGCTACGGCCATGTCTCTGTTCGCATAGACCAGGAAGTTGTCCCTAATGGCAATCATCCCCCGAAAAACACATCCTACGCCACGATTAAATGAAGTGCGCTACCACTCTCACTTCATCCCCGGGACGAGAAGTGTACCTCTTCATCTTTCGAATTTTCCCCTAACTTCCTGTCCTCAGTTTTCCATAAGGTATCCGCTTTCTCCAGAAAAATACTGCCTACTGTAGTCGGGAGAAGGAGGGGAGGGGGAGGGAGAGAGAAAATCGTCACCGAAGAACTACTATTCTCGACTACTGAAAATGGTAACTATGTGGGAATTTGACACTGCCGACAACTAAGGGGGCAGGGCTCACAGAAAAAATAATCTTTGATCCCAAAAAATTTCTTTTTTCGGGATCGGGAAAATCCTGTTCGCGAGCAGATACGATCCCTTTATTGGATTCCCTCAGTGACACTGCACCCTAGTACGGACCTTGCGACGTCATCTGAATGCAGCGCGTATGTAGCCTATCTGTCACAATTTAAGAAATCCTGAGGAGGCGAACTCATGGGAATACTCTTGACTGAGTTTGGCAGTGTAGAATAAAATGACTAGGCTAAGAGAAGAACACTTCGGACGCCTTGCAACAAGCTGCAATTTTTCCTGAGGAAAACTGACGTTTCAAGCGGCTCTAGCATATGATTGAACGATGAGGTAGAAAAAAGGCAGCGATTATCGTTCAATGAAGGCCCCTTCCGCAGGAAGCTGGCAAACCTCCAAGTCCGTTTCAGCCTTTCACTTCTTTGCATCCAAGCGCAGGGCACATCATTAGTTAGGGATTGTGGTCGAGTGTGTGCCCCCCCCCCTTTTTTAGTAGGTTAGTACTGATTCCTCCTCATCGAGCTCGAGCGATGGGGGG